GGGCCGAGGGCAGCGCCCCGCCCCCGCGGGGCCCTGCCGATGCCGAAGGCGGGAGGGATTTCTGCCAGGCAGCCCGAACGCAGTGGCGAGCCTCCAGCTAGTGATGTAAAGCAGGCTCTGTTCTTCCTCCTCCCCGAGGGATGGAAAATCGCTGGCCCCGCCGCACCCCCTGCAAAGGAGGCCGAGCGGCTTTCAGACCAGCACCATCCCCTCCTCCGCACTGCTGCTATAAATACCGGAGAAGAGTTTCTTCCCAGACTGCTCGAAGGGGGGCCAGTTTCTGCTCTGATCTCAGGCCCCCCGCAGGTGCAGCGTCGCGGTGGGCTCAGCTGACCCCGGTTGGACACGCGGGAGGCAAACGGCGCCGAATCCCACAGCAAAATGCTGCCATTGCCTGCAAGCGGGACTAGACTTCAAAGGTTGAATCCAGCCACTGTAGAAATAAGCCCCCTCAACCTCCTCTCTGTTTGTGGAGACAGCGTTGCCTGGTCAGTGACCCGGCTGCTGAAAAATGACGTTCGGCTAATCTCCGAAAGATTAAAAAACGGTACTAAGGTCAATGGGAGGAGGACGGACTTGGCTGATCTTTCCCCGCGGTGGCTCAGCCGGGGCTGGGGTTGTCCAAACCAATACGCATGGCGGGCAGGGCATCCCTGAGGCGGTTTCTGCCATGGAGTAAGCAGAGCACTGCTGCTACAGAAGCGCGGCAGCCATCTTGTCTAGTCAGAGCGGTCCCCGAGGAGGGGACTAGTCCCGTGGAAGCGACAGCCAGTGTTGTAGTTGTGTGGTGGCCAAGTGTGGCGTAGTGGGGGGGGCTGTCTGCTCTGCAACCCGGGGTCCCCCTGCGGTGTGATCTGATCGCCACTGACTCACCCACATGTGGTGATGTAGTGTCAGTCCCTTGCTGGTTGCTGTGCCTGGGCGGTGAGCGGCGGAGGGCCCCACGGGCGGTGTCTGTAGCACGGCCCAGCAAGGGGGGCCTCAGGACAGTGGCCAAACCGGTTCTACTGGTAAAGGGAAAAGACCAGACAAAGGGAAGTGTGTGCTGGGGGAAGGGGCAGTCTTGGGCTGGAATCATGGAGGAACCAGTCTAAGGAGAGGGCTGGAATCCAGGGGCCTAGGGACCAATCTCAAGGGGTCTGAGGTATCCTGGCCCAGACTCCGGTAACCACATCACGTCTAGGCTGTGCTGTATCCTGGAGAAGCAATAAACCCCCCTCTATTCTACCGGCTGGAGCGGGGATGTCATGGAGGGATGCCGGCGTAAGGCGGAGCTGTGGCCAGACGTCAGCACAGCCCATGCCGGGGAGTGGGCGAATGGGGTGGCACGGGATCATGAAGGATCCAGTCTAAGGAGAGGGCTGGAATCCAGGGGCCTAGGGACCAATCTCAAGGGGTCTGAGGTATCCTGGCCCAGACTCCGGTAACCACATCACGTCTAGGCTGTGCTGTATCCTGGAGAAGCAATAAACCCCCCTCTATTCTACCGGCTGGCAGAGTCTGTTCTTGCGGCTACAGGGGTGCAGGATCGGGAGGAACCCCAACGCACCGTCACTAAAGGTATCCTGGAGACTGAGACAATTCCTCTGGATTTCAGAGAGGCAGTCATAGTTAGTCCGGGCCCCCACTTCTCCCTTCCATGATACCCCTTGCCGCGGTATCGAGGGTGTCGGGGTGGCACGATTAGCGGTGACTGGGAGGGTAAGACGGAAGCAGGGCGGGGTGATAGTAATGCCGGTGATGAGCACCCAAAACAGACTGTAGGCGGTCCAGCGTTGGACTGAGTGGAGACAGTCAATTGTGGCACTGAGGCACGGTGGAGGGAGGCGGTAGTGCGTTTAGGCATCTCGCCCCACTGGCCGGACCGGATCCTCCACGGATCTGGGTCCTTAGGGCCCTGGGCGGGTCTTTATATATAATGTATACAGGCTGAACTTCTCTGGTGCAGCAACATCTGTAGTCTGGCAGGAACGCAAGTTTTGCCTGTAATGGATGGAAGGGGTACTGCCTGTAAAGGGTTAAACTCAGAGAATCCCTGTTGCCATGGAGCAAGGAAGTGTTATTAGCGGGGTGACAGTAATGCCGGTGATGAGCACCCCAGGCAGACTGTAGGCGGTCCAGCATTGGACTTTGCCATGGAGCAAGGAAGTGTTAAGATTTGAATTAAAAAAACCTAGGTTGCCTTCTTTAGTCTTCTTTGGGTGAGAGAAGCAACGGGGGTTGTGAGAGAGATGGAATGAGTTTGAAAGGCAGAAATGAAAGTTATAGCAATAACCATGTTTAGGAGAACAAAACCGTGAAGGAAAAAATGTAAGTAGACAGGAAATGTTTATTTAGATGCAATCAGGTTATTTTTCTTTGTTTTGCAGTTTGGTTAAATTCCTCTATGCTGAGTCCATATGACCTTGGGGAGTTTTTAAGCAGAAGCCTATAAAGGCAAGGTATTTTAAAAGTCACTTGTGGGCCCCCACTTTCTGCACTCAGAGTGCCACCACCACAATCGTCGGGGAACCCCGACCACGTCGTCACACCAAGTAACGCGGCGGCTTTGTCCACAGCGAGTTCCTGACACAAACAGTTCTTCCAGCCTTACAGGCCAGACTTGTGACAAAGGGTCCGTCTACACTTGCTCCCTAGGTCGAACTAGGGATGCAAATGTAGGTGATCGAAATTGCTAATGAAGAAGGGATTTAAATATCCCACGCTGCATTAGCATGATCGTGCCGGTGCGTTACTCCGCTCAACAGCGGTTTTGAAAGTGAAAGTGTGCGCCGGGAGGGGCAGGCAGATATTGCAGCAGCAGAGGGGTCAGTAACAATAAAGCCAGTGGCTGGGAGACCAGCTGGGGCCAGGGCTAGTGTCTGGGAGCCCAGATCCGGGCTGGGAGTGGAGCTGGAATATCAGGCAGAGCCTGGATAGGGTTGGGGGTGGAGTTTGGTGGGCAGGGTTAACAGCAGTGTCGGTGAGATTGTTATACAGAATAAAGTGATATATTATCTTTATCTACTAAAACTGGGGGAAATGGGCTTAAATTGCAGCATGAGAAACAATCACATTCCAGGTATAAACCATTGTTCTGGCACAACCAAACCTTTACCTTGCTTTAAGTTATAATAAGAGGAAGCTGCATGCCAAATTTGATGGTCCTAGCTCTTACAGTTTAGGAGGAATTCTTGAAAAGCCAGATAGACACTCATTCACAAACAAGTTCTTTCAAATATATGGGTATGTCTACACTACAAAGTTAGTTCGAACTAACGGACGTTAGTTCGAACTAACTTTAATAGGTGCTACACTAGCGCTCCGCTAGTTCGAATTTGAATCGAACTAGCGGAGCGCTTAGTTCGAACTAGGTAAACCTCATTTTACGAGGACTAACGCCTAGTTCGAACTAGCTAGTTCGAACTAAGGGCTGTGTAGCCCTTTAGTTCGAACTAGGGGGAGGCTAAGGCTTCCCAGGTTTCCCTGGTGGCCACTCTGGCCAACACCAGGGAAACTCTATGCCCCCCTCCCGGCCCCGGACCCCTTAAAGGGGCACGGGCTGGCTACGGTGCCCGTGCCAGGTGCAAGCCAGCTCCCAGACATTAACCTCCCCCCCCATTCCCCTTCTGTTCTGAAATTTGATTTGTCCTTTTCATATGTGTTCATTTTTTAAATTGTATCCTTTGGTATATACGGTTGTGACTATTTTCTTCCACTATTTGATCTGAGGAAGTGGGTCTGGCCCACGAAAGCTCATCATCTAATAAACCATCTTGTTAGTCTTTAAAGTGCTACATAGTCCTGTATTTTGTTTTAATTCCATAGGGGCACTTATACCCCAAGTAAATGCCCCCTCTGCCTGCCTGTTGCTTGGCGAGTCTCCCTTGTGGCCATCCGGCACCTGGGAAACCTTTCCGACCAACGTTTTGTCAAAACCAACAGGCAGCCCTGTACCGTTCAATGTCAACCAACTCATCGTCCAGCAGAAGAAATGTAGCTGAAAAATTCCCAGCCAGCTGCACGGCTAAGCCAGTGTGTCTTCCCCACACCTGCCGTGTTACTGCACCCGGGCGCCTCCCGGCCACAAGGTGAAACACAAACCGAGAAACGAGACTGTGTTCCCTCCCACAACGGGGTTCAAGGCCTGGGAGAACACACATGACTAGTCGCTGCTACAGGATCTAGAAAGTTCTCTGTGGGTCCTTACTGCTCAGCTCTTTAGTCTGCGTGTTTCCCAGGCCCCGGGAGCAGGCCCGGTGCCGCACCATGGAAAAGGAGAATTGTATCATATTTGTCTCGTACCAACATGTCTGGGTGTCGTCATGCCTACTCATTCTCCCTCCACCCACCGCCCCCCGGCGTGACCCGGCGCCAGCCACACGACAGCAGAGCCGGGTGTACTCACAGTCTGAGTATTGCTGGAGCTGTGCAAATTCCGTCGGGCTGAGGGAGATCCACATGCCATCACTCATCTTCCAGAGGTGCCAGGCCACGTTTCCACGGCGAGGGGGGAACGAGGATCCACACCGATGCGCTTCCTTTGGAGCTAGTTGCTGCTCAGGTTCATTGCCGCCGTGCAGCGCCCGTCCAGTCCTAGGGGCACGGTTCAGATCAGCATCTGGGCAAGCGCGGAGGCCTCACGTTTCACAGCCACCGCCAGGACCGTGGCCAGGAGGGATTCCATAAGCAGGCACCTCAGACAGCACGTGGCAGCTGCGTCGGGGTCTTCACTCCTACAACGGGAAGAAATGCAGGCACAAGAATCACTTACACGGACCACCTGCTTGCTTCTCAGGAGCTCGGAGGATCGAGGGCTGCTTCAAAGCCCTAACCAAAGCGTATTGTTTGGGAGACTCGGGTAGAGAATCGGTCAGAGGGAGAGAGGCCTTTTCTGTAACCAAAACTACACCGCTTTATCGAACGGGGTGACCTTTAAACTGGCGCAAACCCCTGTGGCCAGACTTTAATCCAAACTGAACGTGGTTACACTGATTTAAATGATACCCCCACAGTTTAATCACCTCCAAACCGGTGCCACTTTGAACACAGGCGACGCCAAAGACGGCTACTTTCCGGTCTATGGGAGAGGCCTGGTGGGATCCCTGTTCTCATGCACAAAGGCGTGGGATGGGGGATGTGTGTTAGTTGTTCTGAAGTAAAACCAACAAACACGACGCCTGTCCCAGGTCCCTCGCACACTCACACCACGATTTCAAATCACCTCCAAACCGGTGCCACTTTGAACACAGGCGACGCCAAAGACGGCTACTTTCCGGTCTATGGGAGAGGCCTGGTGGGATCCCTGTTCTCATGCACAAAGGCGTGGGATGGGGGATGTGTGTTAGTTGTTCTGAAGTAAAACCAACAAACACGACGCCTGTCCCAGGTCCCTCGCACACTCACACCACGATTTCAATCTTATCTGGGAAGCCCCCTTCCCCACCCCCTCCATAAACCCTATTCCGCATGCGTGGAAGTCACCAAATTCTGGCTGTTTTGGTCCAGAGAGGACCAAGTCCCAGAGCCTGGAGCATGGGTTCCCAAACTGGGGGGCGTGCCCCCCTGGGGGGCTGTGAAGACATTCCAGGGGGGGCCTGAGGCGACCCAGACCCTCCCATCAATCTTCCCCCCTAAGTTTCGCTGCTATTTTTTTTTTCGGCCCAGTCAGTTCCTTTTTTATTTCCTCAACAAATTTTGCTGCTATTGGGGGGTGGGGGCATGAGGGTTTCTCAAAAATCAAAAAAGGGGCGTGATGCCGAAAAGTTTGGGAACCACTGGCCCGGAGCCTGTGCAGAGAACACCCTGCCGGCTGCCCCCCTCGTTGATACCAAAGGGGAGCCATCTTGAATGCTCCTGTGGACCACAGCTGGGACAGCGGGGGAGGAGGATGGTGGTGATCCCTGAGGTAGGCCAGCCCAGGCCGGTCAGGGATTTCCAGGTCAGCACGAACACTTTAAACTCTACCCGGCGACCAGCGGACGGCCAGTGCCAACCCCCAAGGCCCGGGCGCGTGTGTTCTTAG